TGCTATAACAAAACCCTATAGACTGGGTGGCTTAAAGACAGACAATTTATTTCTCACAATTCTGGAGGGTGGCAAGTCCAAGATCAATGGTGTGGGCAGATTTGGAGTCCACTTCCTAGCTCCAAATGGAAGTCTCATCACTGTGTCCTTACACAGTAGGAGTGAGGGAGCTCTTTTTAAAATGGCGCTAATTCGGGCGCCTGAGTGGCTCAGTTGGTTAAGCGACTGCCTTCGGCTCAGGTCATGATCCTGGAGTCCCTGGATCGAGTCCCGCATCGGGCTCCCTGCTCGGCAGGGAGCCTGCTTCTCCCTCTGACCCTCCCCCCTCTCATGTGCTCTCTGTCTCTCTCATTCTCTCTGTCTCAAATAAATAAATAAAATCTTTAAAAAAAAAATGGCGCTAATTCCATTCACGAGGGCTCTACCCTGATGACCTAACTACTTCTCAAAAGCTCACTGCTCAATACCATCACACTGGGGGGTTAGGATTCAACATATGCATTTCAGAGGGACACAAGCATTCAGCCTATAGGACCAGCCCACTAGGGGCTCAGCTTCAGTCATAAATTAAGGCGGCATGGAAAAGAACATGACAACAGAGTCTGCACCTGGAGACTCTTACCTCTTAAAGATGGGAGCTTACCTGAGCGTGTCAAACATCCCCATGAATGACAGATGGATTTCAAACCCCCCACAATGGAGCTTTTGGGACAATGGTTGTGACCCTGTGGAGAACTGGTGAGCAGAGACAAGGCGGGCTTTCAGCAGTTGCTGTTGATTTCAGGAATGTGTTGAGAATAAGCCACACATGTTTTGATTCCTGACAACAGGTGGACCACAGAGGAAGAGAAAAAGAATGCAGCCTTGTTATATAGTTTCCTAATGACACCGATTTCTCTGAGTTTCTCAGAAAAATACTCAGAAAGGCAGGAGTGTGAAAAGTTATCATTAGGGCCCCACCTCACACCCTGAGTTTCTTAAAACAAAACTAAATTTCCGACCACCTTTCTGGGAAAAGAAGGGGCACAAGCCAAAGGCACGCCAACCCAAGGGCAAATAGGGATCTGACCTATTTAGAATTGGTCTTGGCTAGCCTGAAATTTAGCACCAGTTAAGTCCCTGGCTTAGCTGGAACACCTGTGAGCTTTCCCAGTGTCTGATGTTGACAAAGGGGGGAGGGAGCAGAGAGGGCTGCATACTTCTCAGGTGAAGGCACTGGTGGGGAACTGGAGAGAACAAAGGACTTTCTCAGATGTGGCCAGATAGAACAGCTGGGGAGTTCTCAGCAGCATACGAACTCCAACTGGAACTTCATGGTTCTTTGGGAAGCCAGGTGGGATTCCCTGACAGCGGGCTGACAAGGCAAAGTGGCTCTGGGTCCCTTTATCTGCCAGCAGTGCAAGGACCCAGGGACATTGTAGGAGACACTGAGCTTTGGAGGAGGAGGGAGAGTTATAGAACCCAGGTCTTCCTGACCTTGACTTCTATTCCACCTGTCTTTATAGTGTCTCAGAAGTTGAGGGTTTTGACACCATCCTGGGCATTAGTAAGGAACTGAAGCAATAACTAGGAGTGATCATTAGAAAGTGTTCTGAGTCTTACTATGCATCAAGTGCCAGAATAAATTCCAGGTGAATTAAAAAGTTAAAGGATAAATATCATAACAAAAGAATGAGAAGAAAGTTTAGCTGATCCTAAGATGGCAAAGGCCTGTCAAAACACAAAAGCAAAACAGGAAACACCAATAGGTTTGAAATATATGTATACGAAATTAAAAAATTCTATATAGTTTAAAATCACTCCCCCAATTAATAAGATAGAGTTAATAGGAAATAACAAGTTGGGAAAAATATTTGCAGCATATGTGATTACTGGTTAATGGCCTTAATATGAAAGAATACATAATGGGGGAAGTGCCTAGCTGACTCATTTGGTAGAGCATGCGACTCTTCATCTCAGGGTTGTGAGTTCAAGCCTCACACTGGGCGTGGAGCCTACTTAAAAAAAAAAAAAAAAGATACAGGGGCGCCTGGGTGGCTCAGTCTTTATGCGTCTGCCTTCAGCTCAGGTCATGATCCCAGGGTCCTGGGATGGAGCCTCGCATTGGGCTCCCAGCTCAGCGGGAAGCCTGCTTCTCCCTCTCCCACTCCCCCTGCCTGTGTTCCCTCTCTCGCTGTGTCTCTCTCTGTCAAATAAATAAATACAATCTTTAAAAGAAAAAAAAGGATACATAAGGAAGAAATGGATGATCATCTCAATAGAAATATGCTAGGTGCCAATAAGCACATGAAAAATATTAATTAAAATAACAGTGGTATGATAAAATACCATACAGTTCTTCAAGATGGACGGACATAGGGAAAAACATAATATCCAGTATCGTCAAGGGTACAAAGAAAGGGGCATTCTCAAACATTTACAATTGGAATGTAAATTGGTTTGATTTTTCTGGAGGGCAATTTGGCAGTTTATATTATAAAGCTTAAAATATGCATAACTTTTGACTCAGGAATTTCTCCTCTAGGAATTTATCTTTTTTTAAGATTATTTATTTGAGACACACACAGAGAAAGAGAGAGAGAGAGAGAGCATGCTAGCACGAGCAGGGCAGAAGGGCAGAGGAAGAGAGAGAAGCAAACTCCCCACTAAGCAGGGAGTAGGGGTCGATCCCAGACCCTGGGCTGACCTAAACCAAAGGCAGACACTTAACCAACTGAGCCACCCAGGCGCCCCCTCTAGGAATTTATCTTAAGGAAATAATCAAGGATGTGCACAGAGACTTATCCACAAGAATATTTTCTACAGTGTTATTTTTAAAATAACAAATCCTGGGGAGGGGGTATTGAATGGTCAGATTTGACAGAGTTGGGGAGTGGCTACACGGTCTTCATTACTGTATGTGTTTCCTACTGTAACAAATTACCATAAAGTTAGCAGCTTAAAACAACATAAATTTCTTATCTCACAGTTCTGTAGTTCAAAGTCTGACCGGAGTTTTACTGGGTTACAACAGAGGGGCTGGCAGGACGGTGTTCCTTCAGGAGACTCCAGGTCAGAGTCTATTTCTAGCTTCTAGATGCTGTCCACATTCCTTGGCTCTGGCCCCCCTTCTTCCATCTTCACATTCAGCAACATAGCCTCTCTCAGACCTTTTTCATCACTTCATCTCTTTCTCTTACTCTTCTTTCACTGTCTTCCTCTTCCACTTTTAAGGACCCTTGTGATCACTTTGGGCCTACCCAGATAATACTCATAATTAGCTAATTAGCAACCCTAATTCCAGTTGCCATGTAACTATAGGTCCTGGGGATGAGGGCATTGAAGTCTTTGGGGGTCATTATTCTGCTACACTATTGTATTATTCCATATACTTATCTTTACAAAGTATTTAATATTTTGTCATATTTAAAATACTAAACATTGAAAAACCCAAACCCAATTACCACTTTAGTGTATGGATGAAAGGAGGATATATATTCATAGGATGAATGCTATGTCCACATTAAAAGTCATAATGTAGTAAAGTATGTAGTAGCATGGAACAATGTTCATTATAGGTAGTGGGGAGATAATCAAGTCTACAAAAGAATACGCACAAGATGATAGCAATTATGTAAAACCCAAATCCCCAACAAACCTAAATCCACGTAAATAAAAAATGTTTGGAAGATTATCGGTCAAGTTGTCAATAATGTTTATCTCTGGATAGTAATTTTAATTTTCTTCATTTTTTCTGCATTTCCCAAAATGTGTGAAATAAAAGGTGATGGAGAATGTCATGTAGGACATTTTTCTGGTCAAGCATTTCCCTGGTTTCCTAGCTTTTTTTTTTTTTTTAATTAACATATAATGTATTATTTGTTTCAGGGGTACAGATCTGTGATTCCTCAGTCTTACACAGTTCACAGCGCTCACCATAGCACATACCCTCCCCAGTGTCCATCACCCAGCCACCCCATCCCTCCCACCCACCTCCACTCCAGCAACCCTCAGTTTGTTTCCTGAGATTAAGGGTCTCTTATGGTTTGTCTAAAGGTTTTATTTATTTATTTGTCAGAGAGAGCCTGGTTTCCTAGCTTTTGATCGTATTCACACCCATCCCTCAAAGCTCGTCCTCCGCAAGAATATTTCAAGTCCGGCTCTCGACGCCGTTTCTTCAGGCCCGAGTTGTCCGCTCTGGAAGGTGTAATTCTCAGAGGCGGGAAGGAGCCTTGCGGTGAACCACGCTTGGTAGCGAATCGGTGCTTCTTAAAAACTTTCTCAGGGCAAAGCAAACCCAAGGCAGAGCCGCATCCCCCGAAGAACTTAACCAGTTCCTTGGAAGCTGGATGCACAAGTATACGAAACTTTCGTAATTTCGCGGCCACGGATTAATAGTTTTGATTAATGCTACTGGTTCTAATAAACGAGCGGACACCTGCCGCACCGCAGAACCGCCGCAGAGCTGGCGCCCGGCGGCCGGGACCGTGGAGGGCCGGTCCGAGGCGCCCGCCGGGTCCCGCCACGCGACCGGGCTGGGGCGGCCGCCGCCGCTCCCTTCTCCGCGGCCTAAGCCCCAGGCGGCTTCCCAGCCGGGCCGCACCGCCTCAGCCTGGTCCCGGGCACCACTTGTCCGAGGCGGAGCCCTAGGGCCGGCGGCCCCCGCCCAGGAGGCCCGCGGCTCGCGCCGTCCGGGCCTTCGGAACGAGGGCGCCCTCAGACGCCCGCCGCCCGCGCTCTGCGGCCCCGGCCGAAGCCGACCCCACCACCGAGAGGAGCGCCTAGAGCGGACGGGCCCGCCTGCCCCGCCGCTCCGCTCCGCCCAGCCTCCTCTATCCCGGAAGTTGATGCCGCTCGCCCGATCGCGTGCTGCTCGCTAGGGGTGTCGCCTTAGAGATCGGGACTGGCTGGGATTGCGAAAGATCAACATGCCTGTGAGTTGTTTACTTCTGGCTCTCCGTTTGTTTCGGGCTTCTCTGCCGGGGGGCCGCGGGGGCGCGTTCGCCCGACGCCTCGGCGGGCCCGGGGAGGGGTCCCTGCCGAACACGGCTCGGTGGCTCGGGCCCGCAGCTCCTCCGCGCGTGGCGGACTTGTTGGGACTTGCCGGGGCAGCGCGGCGTGTCGGGCCCTGTTCTGGGCGTGGAGCGGGGAGGATCCGGGGCGGCCCTGGGCTCAGGTCTGGAGTCAGTGGCTAGGAGGGGACAGCTCCTCGGGTGACACTCAGCCTTCTTGGGGTTTGGTGGGCGCCCGTGAGACTAATCTTTGGTCTTTTTGCTTTTCTTGCGCTGGTTGGTTCTCGCCCCCTCTCGGAAGCGATTTTCTGCGGTTTCCTTTTTAAAAACTGTTTTCGCAGTTGCCTTACATGTTAACTCCGTCAAGGACAGTCACGCTTCAGCCACTCAGAGTTCCTGTCAGATCAGATGTTGGACCCCGGGGGCAGGGAGCAGAAATCGCCCCAGCGTTGGCACTGTCGGGTCTACCTCAGCGATTTCTGCTCTCAGCGGGCGCAGGGTTGGGGTCAGGTTCTTAGCACCACAGTGTTGTTTTTATTGGAGACTAGTACTCAGTTGAGTAAAGAACGGGATTACGCGACCAGAGGCTTCTTGATCGTCATAGGGTTCCTTTACCGGGACTTGGAGAACACAAGCATTATAAAAAGTACTGATTAAAGTTACTTAACAGGCTAAATAAATAACATCTGGCGTGTTGCCTCTGCTGAGTATGACTGTTATCCCTTGTCTTGCATGTATATTTCACATATGGTTAAATCTGCCAGCAGTGTGGATTCCTTCTAGCAATAATAATATGCTTTTTTATTCAGTTGGCTAGAGATTTACTACACCCGTCCTTGGAAGAGGAAAAGAAAAAACATAAAAAGAAACGGCTAGTTCAGAGCCCAAATTCCTATTTTATGGATGTAAAATGTCCAGGTAAAATTTCAAATCTTAATTCCTTTCCCAAGGAAAATTTCTGAAGGGATTGCTAGTGTGGTGTGTATGTTTAGATAGATAAGTTAGGACCTTTTGTGGAGTAGAGGTGGGATCACAGAATTGGAAATGTCAAAAAGGATATTTTCCTAATAAACTATCCAAACCACTATAGAAACATTTGGGGGGAGGGGTTGCTGAAGATGAGACTCCAAAGGGGATAAGACATTTGACTTACTAAGTCGTTAAGCTGTTCAGATGATTAGTTTTCTTTTTTATGGTGCAGTGAGAAGTATGTTGATTCTTTAGTGTTAAGCTGTGCTGCCCAGTGTGGTGGCCATTAGCTATACGTAGCTACTGAGCACTTGAAATGTGGCTAGTCAAAGTGGAAAATATTCTTAAAGTGTAAAATATACACTGGATTTTTAAGATGTAGCACACACATAAAAACCATATTGATTACATGTTGAAATGGTAATAATATTTTGGAAATACTAAGTTCAATAAAATATATTATTAATTTCACCTGTTGGCTTTTTAAAACTTTTTATGTGACGACTGGAAAAGTTTAAATATGTGGCTTGTTATTGTACAGCACTAATGTTCTTCATCTATTACAAGGTCTTTACTAGAAATACGGTGAACAATAGGCTTTATTTTCTTCTGCTTTTCACTTTTAACGTTGTCCTTTTTCTAGGTTGCTACAAGATTACCACGGTTTTCAGCCATGCTCAGACGGTGGTTCTTTGTGTAGGCTGTTCAACAGTGTTGTGCCAGCCAACAGGAGGAAAGGCCAGACTCACAGAGGGTATTCGTTTGGCATTTTCTAACCCAGTGATGAGGTTTTAGGATTATAAATGTCCACCTTATTAAAAACCAGTTTAAAAGAAATCATAAATTCATTATTACCAAAATAATTTTATCTTTTGTTGTATGCTCTTTCAGTAAAGAGTGCCCTGCTCAAATGGATAAGTTTATACCTTTGATTTTGCAAAGAACTCCTTTAACTATTGTTTTTCTTGGTCTGGAACACCTAATTCTGTGTAGTTATTTAGGCTGCTTAATTTGGAATATTAAACATAAGTCAGAATGGAGCAAAAGAATAAGTACATACCATAGGACATAAGGGATTTTTAACACCATAGAATTTTTAAAATTCTCTTGTAAATATTTTGTTTCATATGTATTTGACACATTTGACTGGAGACAGTTTTTATCATTGCTAGCTAGGCAACAGATAACTAAGGTATAAATTAAAATGCCAGCAGTTTGATTTCTCAGAGCACCTACTTAATGGTTAAATAAAAATCCCATTTTATTTATTTTTTAAAAAGATTTTATTTTTAAGTAATCTCTACACCCAACATGAGGCTCAAACTTAAAATCCCTGAGATCAAGAGTCGCATGCTCTACCAACTGAGCCAGCCAGGTGCCTCTAAAAATCCCATTTTAATTCCTCTTTCACTTTTGTGCAGTAAGAAAAAAATAGTAATTATGTATATTGTTTTCCATAGTAGTACTTACAGATTTGTAATTCTGTAATATTTGAAATTTGCTTGTGATATTTTGGGGGTGTTGTGAATTCCATGTTCTCACCAGAAGAGTTTTAAGTAGATTGGCAACAAATCCAACATCTATTTTGTGTGACCTGGTGAGATCTAAGTACAAAGTCACTATATGATATTTAAGTGCAGTATTTCTCTCAAAAGTATACTTGTAAGATTTTTTAAACCTTTATATCATGTCATGATCTTGGAGTTTTGTGCCAATGGATGATTAATAGGGTATTAGAGTTTTCCTAATAGATTTGAAGAGAATTCTAATCAAAATCAGTTTCTTAGGAAAGTAATTCAGAGTAACTCCTAAAAATTAAGATTGCACTTTCTGACAGCTTGGATTAAAGTCTTAACTGTTGAATTTAGGCTCATGGTCTTACATAGACTCTAATATAGCATTTGAGAAACAGTTATAGTCACATCAGAATAAATTCAAATATACAAGATTTATTATAGTAAATTTCTGGCATACAAGGATAAATAACCTGTATGTGAATATTATTCTAATATTCCTAAAACTTAGGGTTTTTTTTAACTGAAAAAATACTTTTTGTCATTAAGACTATAGCAGAGAGAGTGTACACTTGTGTTTAACATGTTCTCGTGATTCCTTTGCAGGGTGTTCATTTAGAAGAAAGCAACACTAATGATCCACACAACCTCTTGAATTTGTGTTATATCGCAGAAAGCCTTATCAGTTCAGTAATTCCAGTTATCTACCAAGATAATGTAATTATGCTTAATTTTGTAAGTTTTACAACAGTGATGTCCTATTTTGGTGTCAGTTTTTCAATAAAGTTTTGATTATGGGCAAATTTCCCTTCTCTCTTTTTTTTTAGTGTGTGTGTGAGTATGCTGTATGTTTCTATATACCGTGTGTGTGAATTTGGTATAAACATTTAAAAAAGTGTATTCTGATTAGTTTGTCTCATTTCAGGAGTAGAAACCGTAAATATTTGATTATCAGTCCTTTTCCAAATTGCTGTGAGTGGGCTAAATAATTAAAAAATGGAAAGAAGTCCATTATTTGTTAATTCTAAATACAGTTTTGCCATTGTAACTATGGAAACACATGTATAAAAGTACATATTTAATGCAGTAACATTCAGTATAATTAAATAGTAATTACAATGTAATGCCATGGATTTATGTGGCCCTAACATACTGCAAAATTTAGTAGATAACTGCAGCTGGGGTCTTAATTATAGGAAGCACCTTTTGGGGTAGGAAATTTGAGAGGAGGCATCAGGAGTAGCTTGATTTACCCTCAGGATGTCCTGGCTGAGAATGGTAGATGACATGGAATTCTCTGGTCCAGACACATGAGCACTCATGACTACAGATGTGTGTTGAGTGGCTCTGGTGTACTTGCTTTTTATCACAGCAATGGCCCCAAACCCAGCCTCACAAAGATAGGACATCATCAAAAGGCATGTGGTGCCATATAATGTAACTGAACTACCTGGAACTAGAATTAGGCATGGTATCCGAAAGGTATCAATTATCAATGTTTTTGCTATGGTGCCCCAACTCACCTCAGCTTGCATAGTTTAGGAAACTTGGCCCTAGGGAGAGCCAGTGGTGATGACAGGCTATTGATAGGGAAAGGGGCAAAACCTATGATAACTAACTTAGAGGGCAAATCCCTGAAAATTTCCTTGGAAATATTAGTGAAAGAGGATTGTACTTGGAAGAGCATATCTAAGGATTAAGTTATGGAGATACTTGCCACTGGGAAGTGAATGGTGTATTGAGTTTTATTTCATTATTAATTTAAACAGTATTACTGGGCTTGAAAAATAATAGTACACTAGGACAAACTTCACAGTCTGCCACACACTTTGTTACTTACTAATTGTTTTTCTTTAATACTATTATTTATACTGATTTTTTTCATGTAAACACTTTATTAATATTTTATTTTTAAGTAATCTATGCCCAACGTGGGGCTTGAACTTAAAGCCCTTAGATCAAGACTCACATGCTCCACCAACCAATCCAGCCAGGCACCCCAGACATAAACATATTTTTAAAGAAAACGTAATCTCTTCTATAAATAGAAAATCCAGTTACATAAAGATAACTAAAAAATAAAATGGAATTCTTGGCTTCTGACCTGATCAGATGACAAATGGTTTCTTATCTGGTGTGCCTGGAAATCATCAGAAAAGATTCTTCTTGTTCTTGATCTTGTTCTTATTCCTATTCTTCTTCATATAATGTAGATATCATAAAATTCAACCTTTAACAATGTAAAATGCAGTGGTTTTTAGTATATTCACATGTTGTGCAAACTGTCACCACTGTCTAATCCCAGACTGTTTTCATTACTCCATAAGGAATCTCCGTATTTGTTAGCATTCACTTCCCCTTCCTTCCTTCTCCCAGCTCCTGGCAACCACTAATATGCTTTCTATCTCAATCAATTTGCCTATTCTGGACACTTCATATAAATAGGGTAATATAATATGTACCCTTTTGTATCTGGCTTCTTCGACTTAGCATAATGTTTAAGATAACCACACTGTACTATGTATCAGTACTTCATTCCTTTTTATGACAATAATACTCTGTTGTAAGAATACACATTTTGTATATCCATTCATCAGTTGATGGATATTGCATTGTTTTCACTTTTTGGCTATTTTGATGGCTTATTTTTTTTTTTTTTAAGATTTTATTTATTTATTAGAGAGAGAGAGAGCACATGAGAGCGGGGGAGGGTCAGAGGGAGAAGCAGACTCCCTGCTGAGCAGGGAGCCTGATGTGGGACTCGATCCCGGGACTCCAGGATCATGACCTGAGCCGAAGGCAGTCGCTTAACCAACTGAGCCACCCAGGCGCCCACTTTTTGGCTATTTTGAACATGAGTGTACACTTTTTTATGTAGACATATTTTAAGTTCTCTTGGGTAATATACCTAGAAGTAGAATTGCTAGGTTATAGTAATTCTGTGTTTAGCTTTTTGAGGAATTGCCTATTTTCCAAAGAGGCTGCACCATCTTACATTCCGACTAGTAATACGCAAGGGTTACAATTTCTCCACTTCCTCACCAACACTTGTTTTTGTCAGTCTTTTTGATCATAACCATCTTAGTATGTGTGAAGAGCTATCTCACTTTGATTTTGATTTGCATTTCCCTGATGATTATGTTGACCACCTTTTTATGTGCTTACTGGCTATTCATACATCTTTGGAGAAATGTCTATTCAGATCCTTTGCCCATTTTTAATTGGGTTCAGTTTTATTGTTGAGTTGTAAGAATTCTTACATGTTCTAGATACAGCACATATATACGATTTTCTCCCATTCTGTGGGTTGTCTTCATCTTTGTTGAATACCATCCTATGGTATAGAAGTGCCATAATTCATTCAGTATTATCCTGTTGATGGGCACTTTGTTTTTGTTTTTTTCCACTATAATCAATTGTCATAAATATATTTAAATATGTTCTTAATAATGGTGCTTTTATTTCTGTGAGTTAGATTTCTAGGAGTAGGATTGCTTGTTGGAAAGATAAACATATATCTTTAATTTTGACAGGTAATACCAATTGCTTTCCACCAGCAATATAAGAAACATTCTCTCCCTCCTCCATCTCTTCCATTAATAAATGGAATCTAATTTTTTTGCCATTTTGATGACTGTAAGATTATACATCACTGTTACTCTAATTTGTGTATCTGCTTACTGAGTATGTGACTGTAAAGAAGGCAGAATAAGCTGTTATCTTCCTAGAATTCCTTCTCATTTGCTTTTTCTTAACAAAAAATTCTCCGTATTAGAAGTATGGCTAAAAATAGTTGGAATATAGTTTCCTGTTGCTGCTGTTAACAGATTAGCACAAATTTAGTGGCTTAAAACAGCATAAACTTAAAGGATCATCTATCTCTCTAAAACAAAACAAAAAATACACACACAAAAAAACAAAGAAACAAGGAAAACAGAAACTTACTATCTTACAGTTCTGGAGATCCGAAGTCCAAAATGGCTAAAATCAAGGTGTTAGTGTGGCCATGTTCCTTCTGGCGGCTCTAGGAGGAGATCTGTTTCCTTGTCTTTTCCAGCTTCTAAGAAGCTGCCTGCATTCCTTCGTCCGTGACCCCACATCCTCCTTCCTCTACTTATGTCTTCACATCTCCTCTGACTCTTGCTTTCTACCTTCCTCTATTTTTTTAAAAAGATTTACTTATTTATTTTAGAGAGAGAGAGAGATTGTACACGTGAACAGGGGGAGGGGCAGAGGGAGAGAAATCCTTAAGCAGACTTGCCACTGAGCACAGAGCCTGACCTGGAGTTCAATCCCAGGGCTGATTTTGGCTCAATCAACCCTGAGCCAAAATCAAGAGTCGGATGCCCAACCAACTGAGCCACCCAGGCACCCCTTCTTTCCTCTTATCAGGACACTTGTGATTACATTGGGCTCACCCAGAAAATCCAGGACAATTTCCCCATACAGGATCCTTGATTTAATTACATCAGCAATGTCCCTTTTGCTAAGTAAGGTAACCTATTCACAGGTTCTGGGGATTAGGGGGCCACGGTTCTGCCTATCACAGAATACCAAGTTTTAAAATGCTATCCCAGATTTGAAAACTGAGATTCTGAAAATATGAGGTTATTCATTCCCTAATCCATTCCAATGGCTAATGGTTGTGTGACCTCTGGCAAAATAAGAATAATTTCTACCTAATAGGGTTGTTTTGAAGATGAGTAATATACAAGGTGCTTAGCACAATGCCTAACACATAATAAGCAAGTTGTTAATAGTATTTTTTTTAATAAAAAAGGATACTATTAAATATCAAGTACTTTCAAGTTCTGTTTTTCTTTTCCAAGTTATTTACCCATTTCATTACCACACTAGAGGATAGTTAACTATTTTTTTTAAAAGAGATTTTACTTTTAAATAATCTCTACACCCAATGTGGGGCTCAAGCTCACAACCCTGAGACCAAGAGTCACACGCTCCACCAACTGAGCCAGCCAGGCACCAGTGAGCATAGCTACGTTAACTACGGCTGCAAAGTAAGCCACCCCCTAATGTAATGACTTAAATTAATGGTGATTTATTTTTTCTCATGATTCTGTGGGTTGGTCTCACCTGGGCTCACTCATGCAGCTGCATTCAGCTAGAGGCTCTACTGGTCTGGAAGGTCTAAATGGCTTTAGTCACAGGCCTGGCAGTGGGTGCTGGCTGTCAGCTAGGGCATCTCGGTTCTCCTTTGTGTGGCCTCCCATGCTCCAGTAAACTAATCTGGCTTCTTTACAAGGCAGTTTTGGGGCAGTATTCTCAGAGGGGAAGCTGGAAGCTGGAAGGGCTCTTAAAGCCTACGTTCTGGAACTTACACAGCATCATTTCCACCATATTCTATAGGTCCAAGCAAATCACAAGGCCAGCCTAGATTCAAGAGAGTGGAGAAACAGTCTCCACCTTTGGCTGGGGAGAAAGGTAAAATCACATTACAAAGGAGTACACACAATGGAACAAGAGGAATTTATGGCCACTGGAAAATTACCACACTTTGGGAGAACTTTGAGGTTACTCATTTCCTAATCCATTAACATGTCCACAATAAATTCTTAAAGAAATGCTTTATTCATTTCCCCTATTCCAGATGAGCACAGAATATAGGTGGGAAATTTCTATTAGAAGAAATCAAATGGCTCATAATGAGCATAGGAAAATATGTCTAACTTCACCAATAATACGTAAATGCAAGTAAAAACAAACAGATACCATTTTCCATTCATCGTATTAAAAGTTACTGTTGGCATACACACAACAGAATTAAGTTCAACCATAAAAAATTGTCCCTACTCAAATATTTTTGACCTACAAAAACAATTTCATATGGTTCAACCAAGAAAAGGATGTTCCTTACAGCATTGCCTACTAAAAAAAAAAAAAAAAAAAAAAAAAAAAATCCGTCAATAAGAAAACAGTATGAGATAGTCCTACAATATAGTATTTTATAGCAGTAAAATACGCTGACCAGATCACAAAACAATGTTAAATTTAAAATGGAACGTAGGAAACATGTATACTGTGATGCTATTTGTATAAATGTAAATAATACAAATTAATACTATTATTAGATATGGATACATACATGGCTGTGAGAGAACTAAACAAGGAATAGGAAGGGTATACACCAACTCCTGATAGCTATTGCCCGTAAGGCAAAAGGGCTGGAACTTTGGGTGGCAGTTAAAGGGGTCTTCAGCTTTATCTCTTATGTTTTATTTATTATTTTTTAATGAGGAAAATGTAACTAAATGTTAACATTTTAGGGTAGTGAGACTATACTGAGTATGTGCCATGTGAATCTTTTGTGCTTTGTGGTATTTTCAATTTCACAAAATAAAAGACCAGTTTGATACAGGAAGGTAAAGCAAACACTTTGTAGCTAATGATTGCCTTGACAACTTGTAAATTACAGAAAAAAAAAAAAAAAACCCAAACACAAGAAACTTGTGCCAAGTTCTTTCCCCCAATATTAAGGATCAACCACACCAGAGATACAACTTTGGGAGATATGTAAATTTATCAATACTGTTTCTAACAATATTAAGTGAGAAAAGACGTTATCATGGCAAAAATACCTGAAATGGGAATTCTTAATCTAGGGTCTGTGAATCCCTGACATTTGCCTATCACCTCATTTTGAGAAAGTTCCCAGCTCTTCTCAGAGCTTCAAGAATCCTAAGAAAGATGAAAAACAACAAAAGCAACTGCCTTGTTCATAATACGCATTCACTAAATTTACGGGGCTCTTCACAGTCTGTGGACCCTGCCACACCTATAGTTCAGTCACGGTGCACTTCTCCCTGACACCCAGATAATGCTCTTGCCTCATCTTTTTCTCCCAATTTAAATGTCCCCTCTTTGGAGCCTCTGAGCAGTTCACTCTGTGGTTTGTGCAAAAGTACAAAGTTTATATTGATATCACATGATCAAATTAGAACCATGGCTCTCTATCAGAAACACTTTTTAAATTATAATTCTATTTGCTTTTAGTCAGAATATATTTTAAAATGTAAATACTAAATTTAATCTAATAAATTGAAGCAATGACCTTTTTATGTTTATCAAAAATGGCACGGATGGAAAACTTTGACAAATATGAATACAAGACATAGAGATCAGAGCCAGAAAGAAATCAGGAGATGAAGTGGATCTGTTTTAGGGAGCTGCTTTCTCTGCACTTCAACCAACTCAGAATTATCCATCCATTTACCTTTATAGATCAAAGTGGAAAGTGAAGAAATAGGCTTAGGGCTCAGAAATACAGGAAACCCCTCCTTCAGAGGAGTGTAGAAAAACTGATTTCTTTCTGAATTTTCCTGAATACAGTATAATCTCCAATATACTCATCTATGGCTGTTAAAACAAAATTTCCTAAGTTGTCAACACTTTGACAAGCCATCTGTGGAGCCAGTCTCCCACACTGAATCAGGGTGGGTCTGTGTGATCACGAGAATTTGGTGTAAGCAATGGTGTATAACTTCCAAGGCTAGAATATAGAAGACATTGTGGTATTTGCCTTGTTCTCTCTTCAATTACTCAATCTGGGGGAAGTTATGGGACAGTCAAGCAGACCTATGGAGAGGTCCATGTGGTAAGAAACTGAGATCTCTTGCATTAAGCCAGCAAGTAATGGAGGCCCATGGGTGAACCATATTAAAATAAGATCCTCCAGCCCTAGGCAAGCCTTCAGATGACTGACATCTTGTCTGCATTCCTAGGAGAGACCTTGAGTTAGAACCATTCAGCTGAGCTGCTTCCAAACTTACGAAACACAGAAATTGTGAAATGGGCTAATTTGTTACACAATAGACTCCTGATGCATACTGTACTAGATGAAAGAAGCCAGACACAAAGGGCCACATACTGTAAGAGTCTATTGATATGAAATTTCCATAATACGCAAATCCAAAGAGACAAAAAGTAGGTTGGTGGTTTCCAGGGTCTTGAAGGAGAAAGGAACAGGGAGCAAAGCCTAATGGGTAGAAGATTGCTTTTTTGGGGTGAAGATGTCCTGGAATTGAATGGATATACACCTTATAAATCTACTAAAAACCACTGAATCATATACTTTAAAGTATATGAATTTTGAATTATATCTGAGACATGTATTTTTTACATTACAGATTTGTTACCTAGAAGTAGAGTGAGGCCATAACAAAAACCTAAAACATGGGGGAGTGGATTTGGAATGGAGCAAGTGGTTGGAAGTTGGAGTGAAGTCTTTTGAAGAGAGCATTAGTGAAAGCCCAGGAGCCTTGAAGAAACTGTTTAGAAGTATGATGGCCTTTCTGGAGGCTGCAGGTGTGGACCTAAAGGAGAGTAAGGAAAATCTTATTGGAAACTGGAGGAAAAGGAATTCTAATTTTGTGGTGGTGGAAAGTTTAGCAACATTGTTGCCTGCAGGGACAGGGAAAAGTAGAAAATGTGCCCAATGAACTGGGTGATCCAGCTGAGACGTCCAGTGTTCAATGTGTCTCCTGGATTCTTCCTGCTGCTTATACCAAAATGCACAAGAGACATAAGCTAAAGGAAGGACTACTGGACAAAAAGAATAATGATGGTTTGGAAAATTCCCAGACTCTCCAGATGGTGAATGAAGCTAAAATGGCTTCAAGGTAAAGATAAAATTTAGGGCACTTCCAGGAAGACATGGTCTAAAATGAAGCTGAAAGGGCGCTTGGGTGGCACAGTTGGCTAAGCGTCCGACTCTTGGTTTTGGCTCAGGTCGTGATCTCAGGGTGGTGAGATCGGCCCCACATCGGGCTCCAGGCTCAGTGAGGAGGCTGCTTAAGTTTCTCTCTCCCTCTGCCCCTCCCTGTACTCACACATGCTCTCTCCCTCTGTAAAATAAATAAATCTTTTTTTTTTTTAAATAAAAAGATAAAATGAAGCTGAGGGTCTGACTAAAATCCTTTGACTGCTGAAATTTCCAAGATGGTGCCTCAGAGAGCTATATAAACAGGGTTTATTAGAAACAAGTTTTTTCTCTAATTGTCTTAGCAGAATCCCAAGTTACAGAAGCATTTTCTTTGAAGAGATTTGGTGGTATGCTTTTTGTTTACTAACATGAACCCCAATGAGATCTGTAGGAGCCTCGCCAAGTTTAAACAAATCGCACTGGCAGGAACACTATTCCAACTGAAAGGAGAGAGAGTCCAAAAGAGGCCTTTGAACCTCCAAACTTATACAAGCAGAAAGCAGGCTGAGAAAACCACTCAGCTACAAACACATGCTACCTTTCATGAAAAAATAAGAAGTCAGAGGGCAGAATCAAGAGCCCAGAGAATATAGCCCAAGAGCCAAGAATTATCCCCAGGCCTTGAGTACTAATCAAGGAGCTGCCAACCTGTGTCTGGTTGGATTTCAGAATTGCTAAGATATGTCTTCCATTTCCCCCCTTTCTACAGAGGAGGGTCCGTAGCCATCACTGCGTAGGTTGTGCCATTGTCTGTTGCACATGTGGGGAACAGATCACTCACCTTGAGTTCACAGGTCTTCAGATAAAGAAGAAACTATACTTAAGGAACTACCCCCAAGGAACCTCATCCACACCTATACTTACGTGATAGTTTTGAGCTGATACTATAATGGAATGAAATTTCTGGAAAACTTGGGAGGAGGGAGGAAGGACATTAATCATTGGTGGACCAGAGGTCAGACTGTGGTAGATGACGCCCAATGATCTCCACCTCCTGATATGCATACCCTGTGTAATCCCTCCAAGACTGTTATCAGGGTTGGTCTGTGAGATCTAGAGAATATAGCAAATGTGATGGTATGTGATTTCTGAGGCTAGGTTATAAAAGACATTGGCTTCTGCCTGGCTCATGGATCTCCCTCCTGCCCTCCCTCTCTCTCTGTCCCTCTCTCTCAATGTCTCTTGAATCACTTGCTCTGGGAAAAGCCAATTAACATGCCACTAAGATACTCAAGCAGTCTTACAGAGAGGCCCACATGGAGGGAAACTGAGACCTCTTGCTACTCACAAGCCAGAGGACTGATACTTGCCACCAGTCAAGTGAGTAAGCCATTTTAGAAGCATTTCCTCCAGCCCCAGAGAAGTCTTTAGATGATCACAACATCTTGTCTGCAACCTCAAAGAAGGGCGTCAGATTCACCCAGCCATGCTACTGAATTCCTGAGCCTCGGAAACCATGAGATAATTTTTTCTTCTTTTAAGCTGCAATAGATAACTAATAGACAATTTCTCATAAACTTGTTTCTGCTGTCATATTAAAAAAACAATATTTGAAGTTTCCTGTTGAATGATATTTTCTTTATATTACATATTCAAAAATATATATTTTTATCAGAATATTTTATTTCAAGAATTAACACTTTCTTCAAAAAGTAAAAATAATATAATTACTTCCCTGAGTATAAAGAACTAATCCTACAATAAAAGACAATTACAAAATTAAGCAATTAGAGGTACATAATTCTCTGCATTCAATTACACCCTATTACAAATCTATTTTTAAAAAATCTCATGTATTTTGGGGCTTTAATGTTTCAAACGACAGCAACAAGAAGAACAAAACAGCTCATTTTGCACCTGCAATGTTAAGATACGTCAGATCTGTCTTTATCAAATTCCAGAGCAATCTTTAAAGCAGTGCTATTGAGGCCAACAGACTGCATATTGCAGATGATAGAGACGACTATTCCTCTTGGGGGAACCTTGTTATTTATAGCTTCCGCATCCAGTTCTTCGGGAAGGACCAGCAGCACGCTGCTGGCACCCACCGCACCTCCGGTGTGTGAGGCATAATGCCGCTGCTTTCTACAAGAACCATACGTTTGCTTCTTTTCCACAACACCCCAAGCCATTGCGTATTTACCCTCTTTATCCCAAGACATCTCTGTGTTAGGGACTGGTGTCCAAATCATAACCATTGTTTCTGGCTTGAGATATCCGGGTAAAAGATTTTCATGTGAGTTCTTAAAGAGCCCAACTTGGTAACCATACAGCATCGCATTCCCAAATTTCAGAAGGTCACCCACTGTAGACAGAAATCCACCACCAGCCCATTTATAGGAGTTATCCACGTATGGTGTGTTGACAAGACGTCTCTTTTTATTGTAAACATAAAATCTAAAATGAAATAAGAATGGTCATTAAAAACTTAAAAGTCTATTATGGACTTTACACATGAGAACGAATAGGAAAATATGTACACGAGACAGGTTGTTTCAATGTAGTGATCATACATTCTGAGAAACCATTAATTTTCAGTATGATTCAGATTCTAATAAAACACAGATAATTGAGTAATTAAAGCATAGAAAGTGGGTTTTTTTTTCCTACTGGCCCGGCTTGCCCATTTTAAGTGTATCAAACTTTTAATACCTGTAAAAGTGAATTGATTAATATTACACATGATACATTTGCCCAGTGCATATGCAGAAACACTTACTAGATATTCCCAGTCCTTGGGCTCAGTGAATCATGTGCCACATGTGAGTTTTATAATGAAAAGAGTACACATTGAGATGTTTAAGATTAATATTTATAAGGAGACTACATCTCTTGGTTAAAAATGCCATAGGAATACTATGTGTAATGATGTGATGTGGGACTCCTTGGTGTAGTGAGAGAAGCTGGAGCTCACAAACCCATTTGAATCCTAACTCATCCTTACTAGCTGGTAAAATATGCTTTATTTGATTGACACTTACACAGTTCTTGCTACATGCCAGGCATTGTTCTAAGAACTGTATCAGTATGAACTAATTTATTCTTGTAACACGGTTCATAGGTAGGTACCACTATAATTCCTATTTCACAGATAGAAAACGGAGGCACAGAGAGTAGAAACAACTTGTCCCGGATCATACAGCTTGTAAGTGGCAGAGCTGGATTCAAACCAGGTGGTCTGTTGCCTCTGATTCAGCATCCTAATGTGCGAAGTGGTGACAAAAATATCTACTTTGCAGAGTTAGGAATGTTTGTATCAATCACTTTCCATATTTCTGGTAGCTTCCTAATAAATGATAGCTGTTGTTTACTCATGCATTCAACAATTACTGATGGAGCACTTACTATGTGGGAGGCACTGCTTGAAATGCTGGAATAAAGTGTTAAACAAAAGAGACAAAGTTCCTGACCTCATGAGGTTTCTATTCTAATATCAGGTAACTGAAATGAAATCACAAAATAATTAAACCAAAAATGAAATGTGGCCCATGAGAATCCTTTCTTTCAAGATTCATAATAAAATGTGTTCTGAGGTTTTCAGCGTACTGTCCCATCTGTAATGATTGGTCGTCGTCTTCATCCCACCGTGGGACGTTCGTAAGCACTGTCAGACTGAGTCTCACCATCACTTTCAACCGCTTTATGGGTAAGGTCTCAAACTCAGACGTTTCTTCCTGGGACTATGATTTCCAATTCTGCCAACTCTCCAACTGAACCTGCTCTCTGCCCTCATTGTAACCTCCATCTAATTCCCCTTGACTCTTCCCAATTTTCCAGGTCTTCTAGCTCCTGATTTCACCCAATGTTCTGTTCTAGCCTCAACTGTTTCAGCTGTGGTCTCACTAGCACTCTTGTGACAGTATACCAATCTGCCAATCCTGAATAAATCTAGGTACCCCGTTCTTTGGCTCCTTATGTGGGGAGAAAAGCTGCACACGGTCACATAACAAAGAGGACTGGTATCAGTTCATACGCTTGCTAAGGGTCTTCACTGGTGCTACCAAATCTCATTCTTTTCCTGGTTATTCCCTGGTCTATTCTTTCCAATATCTATTCCCAGTCTCTTCCAGTCCTCTACCTCACTCTGGCCAAGGGGCAGACAACTATATCCTTTGTTTTACTGAGAAGATTCCAGTGTGCTTTAGATGGCCTCAAACTCCCATATTTACCTTAAAATGTATTTACATTATAATGCATTCTTTTTTCCTTCTCTCCAGTCACTTAAGAAAATTTCCTATTGGGGCACCTGGGCGGCTCAGTCAGTTAAGCGGCTGCCTTCAGCTCAGGTCATGATCTCAGTGGTCCTGGGATGGAGCCCCATGTCGGGCTCCCTGATCAGCGGGGAGCCTGCTTCTCCCTCTCCCTCTGCCTCTCCCCTGCTCGTTCTCTCTCTCTCTCAAATAAATAAATGTTTAAAAAAATTTCCCATTGTTTTTATGACTAATTCTACTAACCTGCATCCCTGACTGCCTTTTTGCCTCTACAACATTCTTCCACCAGTTATACTTCCTAGATCATTTTATCTCCTTGCAGTCCATTCTCCATGCAGAAGCCTGAGATTGTGTCTTACCCTTCTTCTATTTGAAAACTTCCAATGGTTACCACTGTAATGAGGACAAAACCCAAATTTCTTACGATGGCCTACAACACAATCAATGGTCCTCAACAGAGGCAGTACCAACTCCTTAAGGGAAACTTCTGGAGGCATTTTTTTAGATGTCACAATTATTAGAGATAATGTCTTATGACATTCAGTGGACAGGGGCTCAAGGTTCCTAAATGTCCTATGATGTGTGGAAAAGTCCCACACAGTAGTGTATTCTCCCTCACCGTGGAAGACCTTCAACCATCCTACCAGATAATCATTTAAGTAAAATATCTGTTTATAATGAGCTGAGACTAGAACCCTCTCCATTTTATATATAAACACAAAGCAGTTTTTGGACATTTTTATTCTACAATAACTTTTTCTTAAAAGTAACCACTGTGAAAACTGAATAAAGACTGCACTTTATTTTGCTCACAACTTTAGCCAGAGGTGGCCACCAAAGGCATGAGTAGAAGCACCAATATGATATATCTGTATTGGTCTGCATTTATAGTTGTTACATTTATGATGCTTTTATGTCTTACGTCGCATCTGACTTTATCATGTCTTCTAATGTTGTGAGTAAACTTTAACATATTGAAATATCTATAATTTATTATAAATTATATTTCTTTTATTTTTTCTTTTATTATTTTTTAAAGATTTTATTTATTTTACAGAGAAAGTAAGAGACAGAGACAGAACATGAGTAGGAGGCAGAGGGAGAAGGAGAAGCAGACTCCTTGTGGAGCAGGGAGCCTGATGTGGGGCTCGATTCCAGGACCCTGAGATCATGACCTGAGCTGAAGGCAGACCCTTAACCAACTGAGCCACCCAGGTGCCCCTTATTTTAGTTAAGAGTAGTGAGTATAAGTTATATGATCTGTAACTTTCATTTCAGGAAACTAAAGGAGGTATAAAATATTTGTTAAATTAAGGGGCAGGGGGTCTAATGGCATTGAGATTCACTGTACAATGCGATTTAGCCCCTACTTACTTCTCTGATCTCATCACTTGCAACATCTTGCCTTGCTTCTTTTCATGCCAGACTTATTTCTGTATTTGCAACAAGGCAATTTAGCTTTCCTTATCAGTCGTGTCTAATTTTAAATAGATCCCCTACATCCTCTCCCTGTTACTCTATATAATATTGCTTTGTTTTATTTTTTTAAAAGATTTTATTTATTTGACAGAGAGAGACACAGCGAGAGAGGGAACACAAACAGGGGGAGTGGGAGAGGGAGAAGCAGGCTTCCTGTGGAGCAGGGAGCCTGATGTGGGGCTGGACCCCAGGACCCTGGGATCATGACCTGAACCGAAAGCAGATGCTTAACCGACTGAGCCACCCAGGCGCCCCAACTTTGTTTTATTTTCATATCAGTATCTGAAATTCTTAGTCTACATGTTTGTCTCTTTCCATAGAATATAAGTGTCATAAGGGCAGGAACCTTACCTATCTTGTTCTTTGATGATTCCCTACCTAGAACAGTACTTGCCATCCACTAAGCGCTCATTAAACAAGTTTTTGGAGGCGCCTGGGTTAAGTCTCTGACTTCGGCTCAGGTCATGATCTCAGGGTCCTGGGATCAAGCCCCTCGGCAGGTTCCACACTCAGTGGGGAGTCTGCTTCTCCCTCTCCCTTTGCCCCTCCCCCGGCTGGTGCTCTCCGTGTCTCTCCCTCAAATAAATAAATAAAATAAAATAAAAAACCCAAAAAACAAAAACGAAAAAAAATGTTCAATACATGAAAGCATCATTTGTTGGCCAAATATTTAATGGAGACACCTTCCAAGGCACTGGAGAGACTAGTTAAACCATACACTGTAGCTGCTTTCAAGGCACTAACAGTCTTGTCAGACAGTTCTAACTTGCAAAGCACTGTATGAATCACCTGGGGATTTTGTTAAAATGCAGATTCTGCTTCAGTAGGTCTGTGAAGGGGGCACGTAATTCTGCAATTGTAACAAGTTCCCAGGTGATGTCAATACTGCTGGACCCTGGACCACATTTTGAGGAACAGGTTGTGGGGTGACTACCAAGATGGGATGGGAGGAATCCTGAGCACTAGTGAGAGTGAGCCTTGCTCAAATGGCAGAGGCCAAGCTGGGGAGCAAAGTAGTTCCATTTGGCTATAGCAGAGAGCTTGAGGGGATAAGTGGTAGAAGGTGATGCTGGAGGAGTGGACAAGGGACAGGTCACAAAGGACTTCCTGTGCCATGCTAGGAGCTTTGACTCCTTCACCTTAGTTAACAAAATGCTCTATGTTTTCTGTATCCTAAGGAAAATAACAACTTTTTTTTTTTTTAAAGATTTATTTATTTATTTATTTATTCATGAGAGAGAGAGAGAGAGGCAGAGGGAGAAGCAGGCTCCCAAGGAGCAGAGAGCCCGATGCGGGACTCAATCCCAGGACCCTGGGATCATGACCTGAGCCGAAGGCAGACGCTTAAACATCTGAGCCACCCAGGTGCCCAACAACTTTTATCTTTTGATCCTTGTTACAGCTTCCAGCTGCCAGTCCTTTCTCCCATTACTGCCAAACTACACAGAACAGCCCACACCTTCTGTTTCCGGGAACTCACCCTCTCCAGTCATTCAACTCCTTAAAATCTGGCCTCTGGTCCCCCATCACTAAACAGCTCTCTTGTGGGTTTTCAAGACTCTTCTAATTCCCTTGTATAGTCAAAATCCTATTTGCCTCCTGCAGCACTGTTAACCAGCACTTCCTTGCTACCCAACCTTGGGCCAGTCTGCTGCTCAGAGCTCTCTTCTAGATCTCAATCCTATGATTCCCTACATCCCTCCAATC